AAAGATGTGTTATTATTGTTTTTGCACAGTGTTAAAAACTATATTTTATTCTTCCACAGGCTTTGGACTATGACGAGTACATGCTATCGCTGTATGAATGGTCGGCACAGAGCACTGACATTGTTGGGAAATATTTAGCCGTGAGGCTACAGCGTCTCACTTCGCTTATAAACATCGCGGACTTGCATTTGATTGGTTTCAGTTTGGGCGGACAAACGATTGGCTCTACGGCGCGTCACTACCGGCTTTTGACAAACGAAAGCTTACCACATCTCACCGGTTTAGATACAGTTTTTCAGTGTTTCTACGCAGATAAGGTCTCTTCAAGAGTCGCCGATTTTGTTGACATCATACACACGAATCCCGGCGTCCTCGGTCAACCGGAAGCCACCGGTAATACAGACTTCTTTGTGGGCGGCCACTTCCCCTTACAAGAGGGTTGCTTAAGTGTTAATTGTTCACACTACTGTTCTATTGCATACTACGCTGAGTCGATTTATCCCAGGAATGAGAAGAACTTTCTAGCCAAACGTTGCGATTCCTTAAAAAATCTGCAGCCGGATAAATGTAGCGGCGAATACTATCAGATGGGTTACTCAGTGTCACGTCACCTGAGAGGCAGCTATGTTTTGGAGTTGAATGCTAAGTCGCCATATCACAAGAATGCTGATATTAGCTCTACGGATCCGGAGACCACGACATGTGGCAGCTGTGTGCGTGCGTGAAGCAAATACTGACAGTTTGAATAAATGAATTCATACATATGTATATATTCCATCTCTACATACACGTCATATAATATGCAATTGTGATAATTGAAATAATAATATATAAATACCAGAACATAAAAGTCATATTTTAATTATTGATTTAATTATTATGACTTGTTCTTAATAACTCCATGTTTTTAATTTATCGATATTTTTTTAAATAATTTCATGATTGAAATTGTCGCTATCATTACCGATATTTAGCAATTTCTTCACCAATATTGTTTTCTCAATCATTATATGCGCTTGTATCGATATATTATTTTTATTTCTAGTTAATACCTGAGCGTATTTTTGACATTTTTATAACATTTTTGTAGATTTACTAAACTACAATTATATTCATACCAGCTCGTGCAATGCTGACCTTCCCCAAGCAATTTTTAGTCGTTGTTGTGGTTGTAACGGTTATGTAGTCCCCGCTTGGATAATAAGTTATAGTTTGGTTGTCGTCGAGGTCATCTAACGGGAGGCCCAAGAAACAAGCTGTTTCGACGGGGTCGGACCATAAGGAAAAGGGTGTTAGATGAGTTGGGTTTGTTGGGCATGCAACGAGGTGGTTTTGGATAAGTACTGCTACAATATCCAGAACGAAATAGCGCGAAGGTCACTCTGATTTCACGAGGCAACTCGAGCTCTACGTCTGGTATGGGTGGTGGTTTGACTCCTAGTACGCCATTCACTGAGAGGGAGTCGATGAAGGTGTTGATGGCTCCACTGTGAATGGCTGTCAATGCTTGTCTATAGTTCGTTGCGTCCGAAGTCCGGTCGGCGTACTGTCTGATGTTGTCTTTCTAAATTTTTGGTCGTCACCGGACCCTGCTGTCTTGCGAAA